TCGGTTCCGCCGCTCAGCAACACCATTTTGTTGCGGAGTGCGAGCAACACTATATTGACGCACTATCCCCTTTTCCACACAAAAATAATCGAGAACAACATTCTTGAACTTTGTCCCATTGTCAGTTCTGAATCAAGCCCTAATTAAACCATTTAAGAGGTTTCCTGTAGATCTCGCTACTTAATTTAAGCGGACAACAATACCCGTGGTCGTCGTCTACTAAATGGTATATTTGGAAAAGTTTGTCAATATTCTTCGGGTTTAAGTGCACTACAATACCGACAATTGATCAGAGCTATTTATGAAGGTGAAGGTACTGATAAACAAGTTCATGTTGTGTCACACCCCGAAAACCAAAGGCGGAAACATTTCCGGGGTTGACTCCACGTCGAGTATCAAATCCAATGTACATAGTAAGTAAAGTAAATCAACCATTACATTACATATATGAAAGTTTTACATTTGTTTCAAAAGCATAAGTTATACAAGTGATACATAGTATATATGAACAATACAAGTTCTTCGTCAAACAAATCGGAAAATCAAGAAACAACTGCTAGACAATAAGCAAGACATAGTTCCATGTGTTTGTCCGGCTGATATCATGAGAACAGAGGATTATGTGATCACTTATCTAAAATGGCGCTTCATAGTTCGACAGAGTCTTCATTGTTCGAGGGAGTTTTCGAGAGCTACGATTGTTGGTTGGTTCCTGAAGTTATAGGCAAATATAGTTATTAGACTTATCCAAGTGGGAGTCTGTTGGATAAGGTGTCTAAGTCCATAACTTATTTGGTATATACTTGACCCGACCGGCATGGTCCATTTGGGTTGCATCTCATCCAAACTATTATGGATAATTTTATGAGAGTTATACACATATGTTTATTAATATATTATGAGTTATAATATATTAATATGAAGTTACGTTATTTAATTAGTTTTAGTCTTAAATTAATTATGAATTAATTTAGAGATTAAAAGGAATACTAATTAAATTATGGGCTATTTGTTTTATATAGTGTGGGCTAATACTCATTTGTTAATGGGCTAGGCTTATGTGGAAGTCCATGGATGATCCATGGAGCTTTTAACCCATGGATCCTTGGAAAAGGAAAAGACATGGGTTATTAGGGTTTCACCCTAACCATGCACACTATATAAGCATGCTTATGGAGCATGAAATGGAGCCAAAAAGAGAAAACTAGTGAACTAGTGTGTGTGTGCATGTGTGTGGCCGATTTTATACAAGGTGTATACTCTCTCAAAGTTTTCCAAGAGTTTGTGGTGTTTGTGATTCCATTTGAGGCATTCACACTATTGGTGCTTGGCCCTCAAACTCCTTAGAACCAAACTCACCAAAAGGTATGTAATCTCTTCTAACTCTTTTATGTTGAAATGTTCCCCATGCCATGTTAGATAGGTTATAAACCTTGGAAAATTATTATTTTGCATGTATTTAGACAAACATAGATCCAAGGTTTATTAGGGTTGCATGCACACTTAGGAAGTGTTAGATTGCTCAAAACCCAACACATAGATCATGAGAGTTTGACCAGGGGAGAGGTTGAGACGGATGGCTTTTTGTAACAAAGGATATTAGCATGATTGGGACTCAACCAACCCATGCCAATGATAACATCTAAGCTCTTAATGGAAACTGGCATTAGGTCAATGGGGAATGAATGATCATTCAAGGTAAGGGTACAGCCTATGAATATATCGTTAGCGTTTTCTTTCTCACCATTAGCCATCTCGACGGTAAATGTTTCGGTTAGTGGTTGGGTTTATGTTTAAGAAAATGCTTGAATGAATGGCTAACAAAACTTCGTTCAGCACCAGAATCGAAAAGGATACTAGCATAAGAGTTGTTGAGAAGGAACGTACCCGAGACAACGGTGGGATCGGCGACTGCCTCTTCTCGTCCCATAGCTAGGACTCTCCCAGTGTTACCCACTGTTGTTGCCTTGGGGTAGTTTCTCTTGATATGCCTTACTTCCCCACATCCGTAGCAGGCCTGACCAACACCCTCTCCGGAAGATTGATTTGTTGATTGAGTTGGGGCTTTGCAGAATCGAACAGTATGCCCCTTTTTACCGCAGTTGGAGCATGATAGATCACGGCAGGGGCCGGGGTTATGGTGGAACTTACACTTGTCACAGAGAGGGAGGGTACAAGCATACCTACTGGTAAGTGTTTGGGCTGTGGATCCAACGGTAGAAATAGCAGCATCGATAATAGCAGCGTGGACTGCCACAGTTTGCTGTTTCTTTGAAGACTCTTGGGAAGACTGACCCTCCTTCTTCTTCCAGAATTTTCTTTTCTCACCACTCCTCTTTTTCGGCTCCGGAGTGGTGGTTGCTGCCCCAATGTCATCACTATGGTCGATCAAAGTCTGCGCCAGGCATTTGGAACTGCCGTATGTGTCTGACTTTGCAGCCAAGACGTTTCCCTTGGTTGGCTGGGTCAGCCCCCAGATAAATCTCTCAATCTTTTTACTTTCCGGGGTAACCATTCCCGGGAAAAGGAGCGCCAAATCATTGAATCTTGAAGTGTAAGAAGTGATATCGGAACCCTTCATCTTTAGGTTCCAGATTTCATGTTCCAGTTTCTGCATTTCTCCCCGATGCAGTACTCTGCAAGAAGCAGCTCTTTCAGGACCTCCCAACCCATATCATTGCCTACAGGTAAAGTTAAGGATTTGACTCGGTCATTCCACCAAGTCAGCGCTTTATCGGTGAAAGTGCAAGCAGCAAACTTCACCTTATCGGATTCCGAACAGGCACATATTTCAAAAATAGATTCGATTTTCTCGAACCATCGGGTTAGGGTAATGACACCTCCAGTACCATTAAAGGGCGTGGTTTTTGCATTCATGAAGTCCTTGTAAGAACACTCCTTCCGTTATCCCTGACTACTTTCTTGGTTTTGAGGCTGAGTACCACCTCCTGACACGCCTGAACTAACGAGGTTCATTTGCGATATGGTAGCAGCCGCAGCAGCATTGATAGCTGCTTGAAACATGGTGGGATCAAATGGAGAGGGAGGTGGTGGTGGAGGAGGATTGTTGTTCTTTGATTTGAGTCTTTTCTTGGGAGGCATCTTGATCTATAATAGCCAGGAAAGAGAGGATCATAAGTCCTCTGAATTGAATCAAGAGATATGGAACAAGAAATATCTCTTTATGACAAATATAAAGTTCTAGTAAGCGACGAAACAGAAAAGAGTTATCAAGGCAGATAAACTATCGCTAAGGAAGGAAGGAGTAGTAACATCCGAAATGCATTTCTACAATGTATTCGGCTCTAGCTAAAATACTCCCATAGTATTTTATGTTTCGCTGTGTCGATGAATCATTGTTTGGATATTAGGTAAGTTTTAGGCATGTTGCACACCACAGTCACTCCCAAGCACATGTTGGCCGTGTCTCGAATAAATATAGTTGATCAGGCTATATTGACCCTAGACACAACTACATAACTGCCCAGGTTTAACCATAGCATACAACACCCAATTACTTATGCTTTGTTCTACTCGTAGTTACGGTTCCCGGCGGTTAAGTATACTTGTATACTTTTGAAAATACTTATATTTTAAAGTATACTTTTAGTTCAGAACACTTTGGCCCCTTAATGTTTATAGTCTTATACCATGTAAGGTTTGGTATACTAGTTCACTATAAACAAGGGCTCTGATACCAATCTATCACACCCCGAAACCGATGGCGGAAATGTTCCGGGGCGGAGGACGTCATGTGTAGTATCATAACCAATGTACATAGTAAGCATAGCAAACACAAAACATTACATTACATATGATTAATTACATATGTTTGAAAGTAAAGTAATACATGTTTTATCTACACACTAGTTTGAACAAAAGTAAAGACGTGTCTTCTAAAATGCTTCGTCTTCTCCAAAAGATCATGGGTACCTATCTAATGTGGACCTGAGAATACAAGAAGTTTGAAAATCAGCATAAAGTTGGTGAGTTCATAAGAGGTTTGTTTTCTGAAAATGAACAAGTTTCCTTTGGTTTTTGAAAAAAGTGGTTATCCAAGAAAATCCCATATTTTCTTATATGTAAAGTTTAGTTATCCATTTGTAATCGGTTATCGGTTCTGAATGTAGTGTACAAGTATCTACAATACTTAAAGTGATCGTGCGATGTTTCCTGAAAACCTGGTTATCCTTGAAATGTATGATAGTTTAAACACGTATATAAAACTAATAAATAAGTATAAAAGTATTCATAATCTAAATTGCGAGTTCCCTAACCATACAATAGACTAGATAAGACTCGAAACAGGGGCCAGTATCGTTTATGCCTTTTGTCACCCTTGAACCTTTCGGTTCGACTATAGCTAGCAGCCAGGTGTGGGGTTGTCAATCCCATCACTACTAGAAAAACAGTCTTTTACAACGCTCATTGCACGTTCGTAAAAGGCTCAGACGACGCACAAATGTGCATCAAGGAAGGCCCTGTCATAAAGAGAGACGACGCACATTTACGACGCGCAATTACGACGTGCATTTACAACACGCAATGCGTATCAAGGAAGGCCCTGTCATAAAGGAAGACGACACACATTTTTGCGTGTTAATGACACACAATGCGTATCATTAAAACCCTGTCTAGAAAGGCCATGTCATAAATGAAGATGACACACATTTTTGCGTATCGTAAATTTAAATGTTTAAAAAATATATATATTTATATTTTTGTTAATTTCTAAATTAAATTTGCATTTACTGTCTCATAATAGAAATAAAATACCATATAAAAAAATACAATCCATTGCATAATATTTAATGTCATACAATTCTATTTCTTACGATATATAATGTTACAATAAACAAAAAAATACAATCCATTGCATAACATTTATTATCTTATCGATCAACACTATATTGAATATTTGATGACTATAATCACTGGATAAATCAGCTGAACAAACAACAATAACATCTAGATTCTAGGTTCTCTTGTATACAGGATGTTTATACAAGACTAGCCATGGCTTGGGCAGAGAAGAACTTGTCAAGAATTTCATCAGACTTGAGAAGATTTTCTAAAAACGGAATGATGCATATGGTTAATGATGATGACACCACATTTTCATCTTGAAACAATATTGACATTAGTAAAGCACTTATCCATATGCCCTCGGTGTCCTCAAACTCTGCCTGGAAAAAAGAGAAGCTTACTTATTAGAAGTAACAAACAGATGCTATTTAACCCTAATGCATGGACTTCTGTTAGCTAATATTAGTTCATTCACTTAAGCCCTGTTTTTTTTTTCGCATCAAGTGCTATCTGGATAAAGATGTTCAAAAATATTTGAAAAAATGACAACACACTTACGGAAGAAGAAGGAAAAAATAAATAAGGCAAACTTGTAAAAGATTAGGATACATCTTCATGGAAAAAGCCTGACATTCTCCATTAAGTCGTTCTTTACACATTAACACCCATATATAACTTATCAGACTAAGTCCATTCTACATTAAGTCTATTAAGTCAAAAAGAAACAGCAAATCATTCAATTTCTGGAAAAAAAAATGCATTAGCACTTTTTCAAAGGCTTGTCTTTGAAATGTGTAAATACATATACTCATTAAAATTTTCACAAAATAATATTTCTCATTACCCAATATAAAGATGATTATATAGGGTTACTTCCAAAAAAGCCCTTACATTTTATCACGTTTTATTTATTTATTTATTGTCTTAAAAAGACAATTTTTTTCTTAATTTAAACCTGTAACTATGAGGAAACTTGTTATTTTAAGGATTTTTTACTCATTGAACCGGCCGAGATGCTGACCTGATTAATTCCAAGAAAGCCCTTAACAAAGACAAAGTTATTTAGAAAAAGACAAAGTTATAACAACCCATAACTTTGTGTATTTCTTATAAAACATGTCACAGTGTAAGAGCTTTCTTGGAATGAACCCTTTTATAATCCTCGTCAAGATCTCAAGCAGTTGAATGGGTAAAAAATCCTTAAAAGAACAAATTTCTTCAGAGTTGCAGACTAAAATGAAGAAAAAATTGTGCCTTTTTCATAAACATGTCAAAATGTAAGGCATTTCTAGTACTTAAACCTTTTTTGTATTTGAATGAACTGTTTTTGTCGCAACCATATAATCTCATTGGGTGGTTAAGTGCTAGTAATCCAGTTATGCTTTTAAAAAATGAGACATACGGGACCCACGTGTGAATTTAAAGTATATTTCTCTAGCTTGTCTGAGAGAACTTCAAGTACCCCAGCTTCCACTATAATACGCGTGTTTCCCTCACTACACGAAGAAAGAATTGATAACAACCACAGGCCAGTTGTACCTCCCAATAGAGCACCTGGATCAAGCAGATCAAACTCACCTCCATCATGGATGCCACTTTTGTTAGCTAAACCCCTTGGAGTTCTAACATCAACTTCAAGAGGGTAACAACCTGAACTTTGTTTTATGATATCTACTAATGCATATATAACAGATTTTAAGTACCCTGAAGCATCAAGTGCTTCCATGGTTTCCTTTCTGTGCTCCTTCAAACCACAAATGAGCAGTGAAATTCCCCCAACTCTCACTATATGAATACCTTGAAGAATCAAACCCAAGAGAAATAGCTTGATAGTTCTGAGTACAACCATGTGGGAATACTACCACTAAAATCTGTGAAATAGTCAGCACAAAGAGAAAAAGTATGCACATAAATGATTAAAGCTGGAATATTTTCTTAGTGCAATCAAGCTAGTATAGTCCATGAGTTCATCTGTGTCAAGGACTTTAGTCCTAAAGGCAACGCCTTCCAAGGACATGGGAACAAGTTTGACTTCAACAGGACATAAGAAAGCTGTTTTTTCAGCCACCTGAACACAAAAGGTAGTGTGGTATTAGAAGAAAAAAGAATGATGTCATTGAACGTGAGTTTCTTAAACCTTTTGCCAGTCAATAAAGTCAATGAGTTCAGGGTCCATGGTTTCTTTTGCAGCTATTTGAAGTATTTTTCCCCATCTTGTTTCCCAAACCTGCATGATCAGAAGGGGAATTCTTGAATGGAATCAAAAATTAATTAACTATAAGAATTATTTAACTATAACTAAACTTTTATTATACTTCAAATGATTACAAAACAAGTAAGCAACAAGACCGAGAAAAATGTTTCAAAAAAAATTGAAAATTATATGGCATGGGACAGGGGCATTTTAGGCATGAGAGAGAGCTTGATGATTTCCCAAATGCCCCTGATTCTCTTTACTTGATGATTTCCCAAATGCCCCTGATTCTCTTTACTGTGAACATATAATTCGATAACTTATAATTCAAAACAAACCAATTAGCATAAAGAGAGAGCTTACCGGTGGAGTACTTACATTTAACATAGAATAAAGATTTCAAGCAAATAGATTTTTAAAAAAGATTCAAATCATATCCTAACATCAGATTTCAGCATGAGATTTTAGCAAATATATTTCAGCAAGTATGTTTGTTTCAACAGTTCATTAGTAAACATTTCAACACAAAAAATTAAAGGCAGCAAAATGAATTCAACTAGTATGTTTTATCTCAAGATGAAAATTCCAGCAGAGCAACATAAGATCGACCAGCCTAAAAACGATTCAAACAGACAAGTATCTGTTGCATCAAGAAAATATAATTATTCAAGATCAACAACCACTCACCAAGTAAAAAATACGCAGATAGAAGACATGAATTAGCCCATCTCCAAAACGAAGGATTTATGCTAACGGATTCAGGTTCTGGTCCAAGTCTTCATCTTGTAGCGGTGGATGCAGGGGTGGCTGAGCAGTGGTGGTCCAATTTGAGTTCGTCACTTCAAAGAGAGGGAATAATCAACTTCCTGTAATTGATGCGAAGGAAACAAATAAAAAAAATCTTTGTTTTGCCCCTGGACAATAAAAAGGGTTAGATACAATTAGTGGCATAAAGGGAACAAATCAAAAAACATGTAACCTGTAAGACGTGAGCAAGTTACAAGAACTTTCTCTCTATTTCTATACCCTGGAGTGGTTATAGAGTCTTGTGTGTTTTCCAGCTAGTCTTTCCAACCAATAAGAGTCCTTTAGTTCTCTCATGCGCCGTTTCATCCTTATTTGCCACCAAAACCTCTACTTTGGTGTGTTTTCGCAGGAGAAAGTTAGCGGGAAAATGAATGAAAGGGGAGATGACGAAAAAGATCTTGATGTTTGAGAATTTTGGGTGTGCGAAAGAATTTTTGGTGGGAATGAACCCAAAATCTTCAAGGTGGGGTTTTCTACTTTTTTGGGTTTTCTAATCGAAGTAGGGAGATCGATCGCCTCTTTCAGAGTGAAAACCTGGTGGAGGATAGAGATGAGAGAAAACCTGGTGGAGAAGGAGAGAATAGAAGGTTGAGGTTTCGATTAGGGGTTGTTCAACAGGTAGCTTCGATTGATGGTTGATGAGTCGTAGTTGTCGATCAGTGCTACAATCGAAAGGAGTTGCAGTCACCGAACCATTTAACGCGAGGATCGGGTTTAAGACTAGAAGAGGCAACGAGGATTGGAGGCAGTGGATGTGGGTGAGGGTGGAGACGAGGGAGAAGAAGGCGGGGTTTTAAAAAATTTGGGGATTTCATTTTCCCTCTAAGGAGAAATGAGAAGCCCGTTTCTTAAAAAAAATATAAAACGACATTCATAAACGATGCACCTTTTAGCTAAAGTGCCCTCCGTGTTTTTTTTATTTTTTTTACATTATACACTAATTTAAGGGCACACAATAATGCGCGACCTAAATCCTTAAATTTTTTTGAAGAGATGACACTTTTTAACGTTACTCTCTTTTGCATAACATATATCTCCGAGTGTCGTTGTTTGCGCATCGTAAAAGGGTCTTTTTCTTGTAGTGCGTATAGATCTATACACTCGAGTCATGTTTTCCCTCCAGGAGATTCTAGTTACGGGGGTAGTCCTACACTCTTGTAACTAGGGGGAGTGTCACCAAGGACGTGTCTCCAATCTTAAGATTAATGAATTTTAAAAGTAGTCCTTTACTCTCGAATCTAGGGGGAGTATTACCAAGGACTGGTCTATGTTCTAAGTTTAATATTATTGTTCCTCCACTCTCGTAACTAGGGGGACTGTTAAAGTTCTAAGTTCAATGTTATTAGTCCTTCACTCTCGTATCTAAGGGGAGTGATATCAAGGACGTTTTTAGGTTCTAAGGTTCATGCTTTTAAAAATAATGATATGAAAATTCATTTGAGAAATATAAAATATAACATTTAAAACGAGTTTCACAAATAGTTTGACGGTTTACTCTGCAAGTTGAACGATTGGTTAATACAGTTCCCAGTGTTAAAAGCATACGAAATATGAAACATTTCAAATGAAATCATAAGTTTGAGTACAAGAATTCCTTGTACTTTTGCTTGTATTCCCCCTGAAAACATTGAAAACATGGAAAAAACATAGGGGTATGAACTCACCAGTCGAGAAGTGTGTCGGTTGGTTGTTAAGTGTCAGTTCGGGGCTTGAGAACACGTGAGGTTCCTATGTAATATGAAGAGATACATAATTGTATCTAATTAGACTTAAACCACTAATTAGATAAGACAATACACTCCAAGATGCGAAAACACTTCATTTCAAGTGTTAGGAGTGACTCGGGTAGCATCTAAGGGTGTGTATGACTTGAATATGGAGTTTGCTCTTTAAGACTAAACTCCTAATGGATTTTTCGGCCCAAATGACCAATTCCCCATGAGTTTACGGCCGTAAAATCATGGTGGGGGTGTTCTTGGGTGCTTAATGATCTTACAACTCTTGTGGGGTAATGCTAGGCTTGGTTTTAAGGCATTGGAAGGTACTTTGAACATCAAAAGGACCATTTGAGGAGCTTACGATAGTAAACTAGGATTTTACGGCCGTAAACTCTTATGTACCCAACCTTAAAGTGTTTTGGTGGTCCTAGGTCAATTACAAGAGTTTCTAGTCCAAAGTACAAGCCATGGAAGGAAGTTAGGGCACCATTTGACCACCTTATAGGATTTTACGGCCCAGGAACCATTCCTTGGGGGTTTACGGCTGTAAACTTCTTAGGGGGTGGTTTCTTGCATGTTTAAGGTCCCTAACACATTGTTGGATGGTTCTAGACTTTATTCTAAGGCTTATGAGGTGCTTAAGGGGCATTTTAACACCTTTAAAGGGGTTTACGGCCTATGAAATGGTGTTTATGATCCAAGCATGTGCTTGGGTGATAAACTCTTGTTTACCCCTCAAATGATAAGGTTTAGGTGTTCCAAGTCCAGTATTGTAAGCCCCTAAGTCATATCTAAGCTCCAAAAGTAGTTTGGAAGGGTTTTGGGGCTCAAAAACCACAACTTTATGTGTTTGCGGCCCAAGGGTGTTCCAGGGCCGTAAACTCATGTTTTTGGTCCTATTTCATGATTTTACCACGAATTTGAAAGTTAAACATGTTAATCTATGAGTTAGGATGGATATTTTACCGATTTGGAGCTTGATTTGGGTGGTTTTTGGATCAAACTTGAGTTTCTAGAGAGAGAGTAGAGAGAGGGGAAAAGCTTCAAATGAAGCCCAAATCAACTTTATATATGGTGCAGGTTTGAGGCTCGGTGGAATTCTACTCGATACTCACGTTAAACGGGGCTTTTGGTCGTACTCGATTAAGTTACCGTAACCCGACGTGGTCGAAACTATAAACTTTCCAAATAAATATTTGGGATGTTTTCACGCATTTCTAAAGTGTTCCGACACGAATGATGTCAAAATAAGAAGTCCCAATTTTATTAATTTAAAACAAAGTTAACGGAAAAATTGGAACGTAACGGCTTAACTAACAGAAAACGGGTTACAGTGACGGAAAGTTTTCGGATTGTGACAAATCTCCATCCTTGTAAGCTTGTTTTCTAAGCTTTCCAAGGCATCTATCGATTGGTCCCTCTTCTTGGACTTTCTTCCTTTTTCCTCGATGATAGGGGGCATGTTTGCTACTTCACTACTTCCTCCTTCCATAGTTACGATCTCTTGCTTGCAAGAACTATGGGCTCTGATACCACGTGTCACGGGATGCTTCAATCACCGTGCGTCACTTAGTGTTTTCTCCGCCTAAGTCAGATTAGCTTCGATGGCTTAGATGTACTAATGATTTAAGGAAGCAAGAAAAATGACAAGAAACACTTCTAAGAAAGAGAGCTTCTTTATACAAGTTAACTTCTTACAAGAGAACTTCTCGATGGTTTGGATAAATGAGTCCTCCCCTTATTTATATGCAACCTACACCTCCTCAAAGGGAAGATTCTAGGTTTCGTATATTCCTGAGTATTTTAGATTGTTCTTGCAAGTTCCTTATCTATATACAAAGTTCTACATAATTCTATGTTATACTTTTGCATCCTGGAGAATTCTAGATTGTTCTAGGGACTCCTGGTAGATTATTATTTGTTCTACCATCTTCTGGAAAATGCTAGAACACCGACTTGTGACAATCCACTTTAATCAACATATTTTGTTACTTTTACATTGTAAAATAAAATTTTCTTTTAGTTCATATCATTAAAGCTCTTGCTCTTAAGCTTAAGCTCCTTCGTTATACTCTTCGATCCTTAAACCATACAGTGTAATTTGTACCGTATGCACGCTATAGTGTGGTACGCGATAACAACTGTATCGGTCCCCCAAAAATAGTATAGTATTCATACCGCGTGTTACAAATTTACCACACTAGAAAAAAAAAATGCATCCTTCAAATTTAGTACTTCATGCATAAAAACGTGTACTGTGGAGAGTGTGGTATGACTCCTAGCAGTTTTATAAGGTAATGAATAATATAAAAGTTTCGTAGGTTGATGAAATAAATGAAATGACAATACAAAAATGTAATATGTAAAGTGTAGTATGTATGGTATGACACCACTCACCGACCTAATGTTACCTTTGGTTTCTCATTTGTTTACTTTCCAATGACATTATTTACTACT